AAATAAATAAAAAATAAAATAAAATAAAATAAAATTCATTTGAAGGGTAAGGGCAGGATTAATTGGAAAAAGGGGTCAAATATATGGTAATGGAAGGAAACGACTTTTGATGGTGAGCACACAATAGAGTACACAAACATCGAATTATAATGTACTCCTGAAATTTATATAGTTATTAATTTAAAAATTAATTAAATAAAATTCATTTGGGCCAGCCGAGTGGCGCGCTGGTTAGGAGTTCTCTTGGGATGCCAGCTCTGAGCAGCGGGGCCCTGGTTCGGATCCCACATGAGGGCCGGTGATGCTGCGCCCTCTGTGGCTAAGGTGGTGAACAACAGCTCGACCTGGAGCTGGGCTGCTGTGAGTCGCTGGTGGCAGCGCAGGCTGCAGTGGGGCTGGCTAGCAGCGGTCATGAGCTTTTGTGAGCTGCCATTCAATGGCTGGCGACCGACTACCTCACCAGGGAAGAGCACAATGATAATACCAACATGGGCCAGTGAAGCGAGGTGCTCCACAACTAGACTGAAGAACAAAAGGACAGCAACTTGTCTGTTCCCCTCCACCAACTCCCCAATAAAATCTTAAAAAATAAAATAAAATAAAATTCATTTGGGAAAATACACCTGTATGTAGGAAATGTAGAGAAGTATGAGAGTCGGCTTGCCCTAACAGATATTAAAATATGCATAGAATTATTGTAATAAAGACACTATAACAAACCAATTGATCAGTGCAGCAGAAAATAAAGCAGAAATATTATATATATATGATATATGATAAAGATGTTAAGTTTGAGTGGAGGGAGCACTTACTAAATGCTGAAGGGAAAACACTATAAATTTGGCTTTTAAATGAATTTGTGTTCTATGAATCTTATCAGACTGTAAACTTATTTGAAAAAAATAGCATTGTATTTCACTTATTCGATCTAGAGAGTCCTTGCAGCTCCAAGAAACCCCAAATGTTGGAAATCTCTGGCTGCCAAAATCAATTCCAATTTCTCAGCTGGCATTCAGGGCCTTTCGTGATCCGCCCCCACAGTCCAGCCAGGTCAACTCTGAGTACCTAGATCCCAGAACACTGTGTTCATAACTTATGCTGGGTCACTTCTCCTGCCCTCCTCACCCAGATGTTCAGCTTCCGTTTCATTCAGACACCTGCGTCTCAGCCCCACCACGCTGAGCATTTTGTCTTCCTCACCATGGCTTATTTATTATACAACCTTATTATTATACTACATGTATTTTCCTGCGTGTCTACCCGGCTAGGTGAGGACTCCTAGAAAGGCCAGGACCCATAGCTTACTCATCTTCACGTGTTGATATATGCCTTTCTCTTAAAACTGCTTGGCGCACAGAAAGAGGGAAAAAAAAAATTTTTTTTTCACACAGAAATTCTTCAAATGGCCTTTGGGACGAATCATTTTTCTTCTCCTAAATCGGTAACTGAAACGAGAAGTGGGCAAAAGTCGCGAGAAACCTCCCTCCCTGGCCAGAGGCTGGGATTCCACGCGAACACAGCTGAATTTGGGGCGAAACCTGTTTAATTCCCTGACTCATGCGTGTGGTTCTGCAGGTTACCAACGTGCCCACAACAAAGATGGACTCCCCCGCCCCAAATGCGCTTCATAGGCGGGCCGGCAGCCATCTTTCTCAGGGGCACGGCGCGAGCAGGAAGGTCACACCCTACCCGCCTCCGACAACGCCGGACGCCTCGAAATCAACGAGAGTCCAATTGGAATAGACGTTTTAACCGGAACTGCTTATCCTCACGAACGGAAGAGGCTGTGCGTCAGGGCGTTGGGGGCGGAAGTGACGGGAAGGTGGTAGTGGGGTAGTTGGCGGGTGGTTGAGCAGAGCCGGTCGCCATGTCCGCGGGGAGCGCGACACATCCCGGAGCCGGCGGGTAAAGCTTGGCGGCCGAGGGCATCGGGGCGAGCGCGGGGCGCGGGGCGCGGGAGAGGCGGAGGGGCTGTGGGGAGCTGCGTGTGGGCGCAGGGGCGCCCAAGTGGGCAGTGTACCTGCTGGAGGGCCGGGCTGTCGGGGAGGACGGTGAGCCAGGCCTGGGGCCCCCGAGAAGGGCCAGCGGGGATCGGAGGGCGGAGGAGAGCAGGGGCTTTCGGAAGGACGAGCCAAGGGGAAGGCGAAAACGAGGGCGCGCGGGGCAGAGTGGAGCCTTTTCATAGGGATGACGGGGTAGAAAGGAAGTCGATCGTGAAAAAGGGTTGAAAGAAGTGAGGATGTGGGGAAATAGTGCAGGAATTGTGTATCTCAGATGGTAATTTTAAGCCCCAGCAGGAGATTCGAAGCTGTAAAGGGAACAGGGCAGACGGAAGACGGGGCAGTAAGGGGAGAAGAATATAAATTAAGGCTGTGAGGCCTCTTACTTTCCTTTTCCTCGCTGTAGTCGCCGCAGCAAATGGGACCAACCAGCTCCAGCCCCCCTTCTCTTCCTCCCACCGGCCGCCCCAGGTGGGGAGGTTGCCAGCAGTGGGGGAAGCCCGGGGGGCTCCACAGCTGCTCCCTCTGGAGCCCTGGATGCCGCCGCTGCTGTAGCTGCCAAGATCAATGCCATGCTCATGGCGAAAGGGAAGCTGAAACCAACTCAAAATGCTGCTGAGAAGGTATGTTACAGTTGAAGGGACTCGGCTAATTGCGATTTTCGTAGGGGTTATTGCATAGTCCCGTAATCTCAGTCATTTATGTTAATAATGGAGAAAACGGGTTACAGTAATTTCAAGTTCGCTTAGTTTTGGAATGTATCAGATGACATCTTGTCATTTGTTTTTATGAGGCTGTTTTGATAGGGCTTCTTGCATTTATAGACCAAATAGCTTGTTTTCTCTATGTTCGCTTAGTTCTACTTACAATCATGTAAAATCATGTAAAACAGAGGTTCTCAACCTTCCTAATGCNTGCCCAGGGGCACCACGAAGGCCAGGACCACCCTCTGCAGCTGGTAGGCCCCCAGCCAGTACCTGCTGGGGAAGCGCAGCAGGCACAGGCGTGCACCCCACAGCTCCCCCTCGGCCCCAAAGATGGCCGTGGGCACCGTCACCAGGGCGGCTGCCACCCACACTACCAGCGTGGCCACACGGGCCCAGAAGAGCGAGAGGTGGGTGCCTGGCCCTGCGGCCATGGTCACCACCCAGTACCGGGCGACACTCAGCGCCGTGATGAGGAAGATGCTGGCATAGATGTTGAGGACAGTGGCCGTCAGGACCGTCTTGCAGAGGGCACTGCCAAAGGGCCAGCGGAAGTCCAGTGCTGACTCGACTGCCCAGAACGGGAGCGTGAGTGCCAGCCCCAGGTCTGCCAGAGCCAGGTTGAAGACAAAAGTGTCAGACGGTGGACCGGGGGCTCGCCGAGTGCAGTTACCCAGCACCCACAGCACAGCCAAATTCCCCAGCAAGCCCACGGCCCCCACGAGCCCATAGGTCAGGGCAACCCCAACCCTCAGGACGAGGAATTCCACAGGCATGGCGGCGTCATCCACGCTCAGCACGCTGCCCGCAGAGCCGTTGCTCCATAACGCTGGCAGGGGTGCGGAGGTGTTGGGTGTGGGCATCTCAGGGCATCAGAGGTCCGCGGTGCTGTGCAGCAGGGGCCACTTGGGGATCTCAGCAGGAGGCTACAGACTCCAGTGCTTCTCTTGCTTCGCTTCTCGCTTCTCGCTTCTGGCTTCTCGGGGCCTCTGGCTGCTGGGAGCCCCAGCCCACACCCACACCTGCACTGGCGGGGTGTGGATGGGACAATCTGCCCCTCCCTGTTGGTCATGATGACTGGTGGGTGGAGCAAGGGGGGGACCCGGGGGGGGCCCAAGCTGGTGTGTGTGTGTGTGTGTGTGTGTGTGTGTGTGTGTGTGTGTGTGTGTGTAGGGCTCTGGGGCAGAGGGAGGAGCAGAGGGGGAATTACCCCACTATGAAGAGCAACCCCAAGCCTCAGCTCCATCGAGAGGGCCAGAGAAGACCCCGTCTCAGGGATGAGAGAAACCAAACGGCAGCCCCTCTATCCCTCACAGTGTGCAAGGGCCCCCTTCTCTGCAGAAAGTGTTCCCTTGAGGCCTGTGGGGTGAGGCTTGGGAGGGGGTGCATAAGGCAGGGAATAAATGTCAGAAAGCGAGCAAAGCATCTGGAGTCCCACATCTGCAACTCACTTGCTGCGTGTCTTTGGGTGAGTTACTTCACTCCTCTGAGTCTCAGTTTCCTTGCTTAAAATTTTCAGGTAAAAGTCTGCTTCACTAGATTGGTGTGATGAAATTAGGTAATACATGTGCAAAAGCACTTCATATGTTGCTATTTGCATGAATGATTAATATTTCAAAGGAAAAGTTTGGGGTGTTTATGGCAGAAGGGAACAGGGTACTGATGGTTATCACCAAGCCCAGGGACCAGTGCCAACTAAAACACAGGTTGGAATTCATTGCAGCAGCAAGTGACCTTGAGGCCAGGGGCAGGAGGGCAAGGGGAGAGGAAGTCAGAACTTCCTGTTCCCTCCCTACTGGGAATTGACCTGAGGGGACTTGAGGGGACCTGGGCATGCCCTCAGTTCTCTTCCTGCTCCTGAGTACGAAGTAGTCCAGCTGACCTCTGTCACTCCACTGTCTTTCACCTTTTCCTGTCAGAGGTCAGGGGTCCCCGCACCTTCTCCCATCTCCAACCCCATTTCAGAGCGATGGATCCTGAGATATACCCTCACCACGCCTCATCCTGTCTCCCCATGACCTCAGTCCTAACTGGAAAAAACGTTTCATTGGTTCCTCCCCTTTTGTGCCTATGTCCCTCCCCTTTGCAGAATTTGCCGTGATGGGAAAAAGAGAAGGAGGGACGTGGGTAGACAGCAGAGTGAGGCTTTCACAAGGATTCTGAAATATTCAACACCTTCCTGCCCTCTTCCAACAAATCACGATGTCTGAGGCGCAGCTCCCTTGGAGTGCTGGGGGCGGGGAGGGGCCCTTCAGGACAAGTGTGTTGGACGAACCCTACAGAAGACACCCAGAGGAGGAGCCCCAGACTGGGTGCAGGATGTTTGGATTTTTCAGCAGCGAATGGGTGTATGGGTGGGGTGTGGCAGAGGGGGGCACCCAGCCCAAGTTCAGGTGAGTCCCACGGGCTACCTCCCAGCCTCATGGACTGGCCAGAGTGACTCTCACCCATCCCACCCATCACCTGGTCCATCTGGCATGAAGATGTCTGCTCAGTGCAGTGCTCATTTTCTCTTGGCTCGGAGAAAAGAAGCCTGGTCGCATTCCAGGGGTCGGCTGTCCATGTGAGATAGCTGGTCCTCTGACCATTACATTTTTTACCTTTATTCGTGTCTAATCAATCCTTTTCCTTGGCCTGAGACTGTTAACACCTGCTTGTAGTTTTATAGAGAGTAATGCCACCAGCTGGCCGCATCTAAGAACTTCACTTTGGGCCCAAGATTTCAGTTTCTAGTCTTTTTTTTCTTTCTTCCCTCCCTCCCTCCCTTTCTCCCTCCCTCTTTCGCCATAGCATCTCCCAACCCCTTACTTCCAAGCACTGTGCTAGATGCTGCGGAGACAAAAACAAATAAAATATGGTCCCTTGTCTCATAAAATACAATACACTTTTTGAGATGGCTGGGGCCTTTAAGATCATCTAGTTCGTTATCGTTTTACATGGAGTGGAAATGACTGGCTGAAGGCTACCAGGGACGTGGTGGCAGAGTCGGGATTTGAGATAAAAGTCTCCTGACCCCTACTACTGGGCTCTTTCCGCTCCATCACCAAACCTTTCAGGTATGTCTGTCCACCGATAATCTCTCGCCCTTCCTGAGTGCCAGAAGGGCCTGTCCCTGCCCTGGGAAGCTCTTAGGCTACAGAGGGAAACAGGATGTGGACCCAGGAACAGTGACAGCTCCTCTCTAGATAGTCTTCATTCACGGCTGCTGGGAGATGAGGAGCTGGATTCAGCAAAAGTGGCTTTGCCATCGTCACGTTCATGGATGTCACCAACCCCATTTTCTATGTCAGGGTGCGAGGACCTGCAGTGGTAGCTTACTGTGTCAAGCTGAAATGACAAGGACTTCTAACAACGGGCCTCCCTCATCACTGAATATCCACCCCTACGGCTTACCGTCTCCAGCCTCAGATGAGGCATCAGCGATGCCTAAAAGTCATTTTACGGGTTCCTGATGAGCTTGGGCTCCCATACCTTCACCCAAAAGCCATTTCTTGGGCTTCTGGTAAGTGCCAGGCACCGTGCAGGCCTGCGGCACAACGCAGGTTAAGTTGCTCTCAGAGAGCTCACTCAGTAAAGGCAACAGAAATAGAAACAGTCCTTGTAAATCTGTCTGAAAGGTGCTGTGCTAAAAAGACCTAATAGTTCCGAGGGGTTTCAAAGGAGCAAGTGTTCCATTTTATCTGATAGGCAGAGATGATTTTTTAACCAAGCTGTGAAAAGTCAGTGGATGTCTGTCCTGGAAAAGGGCGTTTCAGGTGACAGGAGCAGCACTGGCAAGGACCTGAGGATATAGAACCGCATGCGGAAATCTGGGAGATGCACGTGATTCAGCCAGGCTGGAACCGTGTTTTGGCCAGGCTGGAACCGTCGCGTGTGTGTACCCAGGGGAAGACCAGCGAAGGCGGTGGGGAGGCAGTCACGAGTTCATGAAGGACCTTGAGCAGAGCAAAGAAGCTTGGATTTTATCCTCGAGAATGAGAAGCCACAAAGAGCTTTTAATCTAAGCAGTGACAGAATCAGATTTAGTTTTTAGAATTATCTGTTGACAATGTGAAGGACCATTCGAGAGTGGCAGGAGGAAGACCATATAGGTTTTGGTAAACAGCAGCTAGAATCGTAAGGACGCAGAGGAGAGAAGGAATGTGGACAATGTTTAGGAAGGAGAATCAAGTGACTGGAGACATAAAGTGATTAAGGAGAGGGAGGAATTAAGAATGACCATCAGTTTATAGGCTCGGGGAACTCAGTGCGTGGAGGTTACATGGATGGACGGCTGGATAGATGTATGGCAGTACCCCACCTGGCATTAGAACATGCAGGAGGAAAAGCAGGTTGAAAATATTGTGAACCATCTGGGCGTAGTGATCCAGTGTGAGAGGTGCTACACTAAAGACTTAATAGAGAGTTCAGAGCGGGTACAAAGGAGGAAGTGTTGACTTCTGCCTTCTCAGTCCTTAGGCAAGTGTGTATCGTTGGTTTAATCAGCTGTGGCCACCAAGTCATAAAACATGCAGAACTGTCCTTTCTGGAGACTGGGAGGGGTAGGCTCTGCAGAAGCCGTTACACAGGGACAGCCAATGAAACAGCTAGCACATTCCTCTGCCCCCCTTGCACACACCCCCTTCTTACACAAACATTTCTAAAGATTCCTCCTCCACAAATGTGACCCAGTTTGTACAAACAACCATAAATACACCCATCCCCTCAACAAAGAAAAACTATCCGAGTCTAACTACTATTGCATTCAGAAGAAATGTAATGGGGCCTCTTTACTCAATCTACAATCTCTAAGCGATGTCCGTTCTTTTCCAGTTCTATTGGACTCGGCTCCAGGTATGGTCCTTTGACATCTTACGCCTTTTAGAAAACGAGTACCCAGACATCTGACGTACACTACTAAGGGAGAACGCAAGACAACTACAGAACTTTTTGCAGTTACTATAGCAGTTGCCAAATGGTGCTTTTTGATGCCATGGTTTTATAGCCACAACTTTTTCCTGACAGTTGTCATTTCTCCAGGACAATTTGTGGCCTGGAAGGAACCCAAGCCAAGATTTTACCCATCACTACGGCTCTTCTCCTAATGGCTTTTTCCTGAGGTCCCTGATGAGAAATGATACTTGAGACGGTCATATTTTACTTATCACCTCCAGGTTCCACCCATTATAACCCTATGAAAAATCACGAGAAGTGTTTTTGAGCAGTCCAGATGTTAGGGGTTCCCACATCTCTTCTGGCTCACCCAGAAACCCACATTCCAATTGTCAAGAGCCAATCATGGCCAATCAATGCATTAACTTTACTCACAAAAATCTAGTATGGCAAAGAATTTGGTATAGCCTAAAATTTGACAAGGAAATGATTGATTTTTCTCCACCTGGCCTTAAGTAGTTTCAGACTACAAAGAGGGGCCGGCCGAGTGGCGCGTTGGTTAAGAGCTGACTTGGGACGCCAGAGGGCCCCGGTTGGGATCCCACATATGGGGGCCAGTGACACTGCCCTCTACAGTTAAGATCCTGAACAATAGCTCGACCTGGAGCTGGGCTGCTGTGAGTCACAGGCGATGGCAGGTGGGTTGCCATGGGCTACCATGTGTAACCAGCAGCCAGCGTGAGCGGCCAGCAGCCGCTGTGAGCGGCCATCCAGAAGCCGGCGATGGCCGGCGACTGATGTGCCTTGCCCGGGAAGAGCGCAATGATGGTGCCAACTTGGGCCAGTGAAGCAACTTCCTCCACAACTAGACTGAAGAACAAAAGGATAGCAACTTGTCTGTTNCACACTTGTTTTCCCCTTGGTTTGTTTTGGTCTCAGACTCCGATGAGTGGACCTTTTATTCCTGCTGCTCCCGTCAAAACTGCCTTGCCGGCGGGACCCCCGCCCCAGCCCCCACTCCCAACTCAGCCCCAGGCACAGAAGAGGCGCTTCACAGAGGAGCTACCTGACGAACGGGAATCGGGACTTCTGGGATACCAGGTTAAATAAAATACCCTGTCTTACTTTCCTCGCCGTGTCCTACTATGTCCTCCCTTTAAAGAAAGAGCTTCACATCTGTATCAGCTGTCCCCCCAGCACTAGGATTTCTTCCTTCTGGAGTCCATTTAGATCAGACTTTTATCCTTAGGGGATCAATTTAAAGCAAGAGTGATGCCCTTTGGGTGGCTCTTGTTTTCGGGGTCAGTGTGCTTGGAGAACGCAGAGCTCTCCACCCAGAGAGGTCTCCTGACCGGTCTCAGGGAGAAGCTCTGTAGAAATCTGTACTTGCTGATCCACGCAGCTAACTCTTGCAAGCCTCTGATAGCTTTACCTCCCTGCACATCTACCGAAAGCGATCATTCTACCGATACGTGGTTTATATGTAAAACCCTGGCTTCTGGTTTATTGTTTTTCCCCTCGCCCGAAAAAAGGGTGTTTTTTTTTTCTTTCATATCCTACGCCCCCCCTCCCCAAATGTAGTGATTCAGTGCCTACACATCATTATAAACACAGTCATTCCCTGAAGAGTTTTTTACAGTATTGAAATAATGTAGTTTTGGTGCAATTTTGTTTTACCAGGAGAAGTACCTTTACTTTTTGCCAGGATCCTTGAAGCATTCTTTGAAACAAACGTGGAAGTATTTTTGTAACTAGGTTTATACACATCAGTTAAGTGTGATAGTTGAGAACAGACAGACAGAGTGTGATGGCGCCTGGCATCCCCGACATCCCTGTACAGGGAACCTCTTCGCCTGTAGCTGTGCTCCACACCCCAGAGAGCTATCATGTAGCGCAGCTTACTGCCATTGACCAGAAAGTGAGGCGCTTGACAGTTACATTAAGGAGCTAACGTCAATGCAACAGCTGTAGATTTGCTAATGCCACTGTATTTTTCTGCTCATAGCATGGACCCATTCATATGACTAATTTAGGTACAGGCTTCTCCAGTCAGAATGAGCTTGAAGGTGCAGGATCGAAGCCGGCAAGTTCCTCAGGCAAAGAGCGAGAGAGGGACAGGTAAGTCAGGTGGGATGTAACGGCACCGTTCGTGCCCACCGTTAGGTGGGACGTAATGACAGGAATAGGCCGGGCGCCGTATGCGCACTTGTCTGTGTGAAGGGTGATCATTGCCATGAGCTTCCATGTTCAAAAGCTGAGATGAAGTCGTGTGGATGAAACAAGCTCCTGCTTGTTGTCGTTGATGCAGTACTGGAAAGTACAAAGATGTGACTTCACAGCCTTGGATGCAGTCACGCTTAGCTTTGACTAGTTCAGTGCTTGCTTATTCGGGCAGTAACAGAAGCCACAATAATGCTTGCTTATTGAGGGTGGGCAGTAACAGAAGTGTTAACACGGTGGAACCATTTTTGCTACTTAGAATCACAGAATATCACGGATGGAGGTACTTGATTGAGAGCCCAGCCTGCCAGCCAGTACCTGATTCCTCCCTTCCTGTATTATTATTAGGAGTCTTCGTAAGAGGGAGCTCACTTCTCGTGACTGTTGTTCTGGTTTGGCCTGGACTGGCTGTGTAGGCAAGGCCTGATAATCTTACAATGATGGGTCAGGTGGAAAGGGTTGAAATTAATGGTGAAAATGAACTTGAGAGTTTATCTGTGGACCGTATTGTTGTTCTACTTGTCTACTGGAGAATTTAAAATTGAAGAGTATTTCACTTTTTTCTTCTAACAGGCAGTTGATGCCTCCACCAGCCTTTCCAGTGACTGGCATAAAGACAGAGTCGGATGAAAGGAATGGGTCTGGGACCTTAACAGGGAGCCACGGTGAGTAAGGTGTAACTGGGGGAGTAAGGATGTGGCTAAGATTGGTCTTAAGCCGTTAGTTTTCTCACCTGATATTCATTCAGGTGTGACTCATTTAGGTGTCCAGTCCAAACTCTGTGATCTAATGAGAATACTTTTTTTTATTTATACGCACAGAATATAGTTACACAGCATTTTATTTTCAACCGACGTGTGTCTAGAAAAGTCAGTCGACTTGTATTTTATACGTAGCATCAGTGACTATTAAAACCCTACGAAGTACTAATGCTTGGTAGGTCATTTCAAAATCTCATTGCCTTGTTGTCTAAGTACCTGGAGGTGATCTGATACAGACCTAGTAAAGATTGATTGTTTTGTATTGAGAGCTGAGCCACGCCCCCTGTTATAGCTCTATTGGTCGAGAATGTGTGTGTACAGTGGCTGTGCAAACACAGCTGCTCTTTAGTGCCCCAGAGCTTTGGATCCTGTGAAGGCACCTGGGTCGCAGTTGTTTGCCTGTGTTAATATAATAAAAAGGAATAGGAGAAAATAAGTTTTTTTCTTTTCTTCTTTTCTTTTAACTCTTTAAAAGGTGAGAAATATCAGCCTCCAGAGACTCACTTGCTAACTTCCCTTTTTTTCTTTTTCTTTCTTTTTTTTTTTTTTTTTGTGTTTNATGCCAGAGGGCCCCGGTTTGGATCCCACATATGAGGGCCAGTGACACTGCCCTCTACAGCTAAGATGCTGAACAACAGCTCAACCTGGAGTTGGTGCAGTCCCCTGCTGCAGTGAGCTGCCATGAGCTACCATGTGTAGCCGGCAGCCAGCGTGAGCGGCCAGCAGCCGCCGTAATCGGCTGTCCAGAGGCCGGTGACTGATCTGCCTCGCCCAGGAAGAGCGCAATGATGGTGCCAACTTGGGCCAGTGAAGCAACATCCTCCACAATTAGACTGAAGAACAAAACAACAGCAACTTGTCTGTTCCCCTTCCCCCGATTCCCCAGCGCTGTTTCCCTCCCCCAATTTCCCAATAAAATCTTTAAAAAAAAAAAATTCTTTTATCAGACCCCTAAAGCCTCTGATGATTATAGGTTGTAGGTTATCCATGCAAAGATTTCTTCTCAGTTTAGTTTCAACCCCTCCGTTACTCAGTTTTTCAAGACAGGTACTCAGTCAAGACAACATTTTAATCCTTGGCTTACACTAAATATAAATAGGCAAAATTTGCTCCTGAAACCAAAAGTGTATATTTCAGTTTTGTGTACGTGCTGGTTGCTGTTTCAAACTCTTTTACCTACAGCTCTTATTAGGTGTACGGCCATTGATCACTTTCTGCAATGTAATCAGAACCCGACTAAGCTGCTATGACATAATCTAAAGAGTCTTCTGAGTGGGTGTGGGCCTGTAGAGAAACGTGTCTGTGCCATCACTCCGCCCCATTAAATTGGACAGCCAGGAGCTCATTTGTCCGTAACCTTTTAGACACCAATGAAAAGGAATTCTCTTCTCAAACACTGGCTGACGTGGCTTGACTGGACGCTGATACTCTTGAACCCCTAAGAACAGATTTGATTTCCTTTGTGAGCCCGTTAACTTGAAGCAACCAGAAAAGTTCATTCGTTCCCCTGCTATTAAACCATTCTGTTAGAATTTAGCAACAGTCTCTTTCACTGACTTGGAAACAGAAACGATTACAAATTAGTTCCAGTGAGCTGTTTGGCTCTTTTTGTTGTGACCAGATTGGGACCATCAATCATCTTCTGTTCCTCTTTATAGGGACCGTCCGTTATATCTTCATGTTCAGGGCCAGACACGGGAATTAGTGGACAGTAAGTAATGCTTTTGGCTCCCATCGCTTTTTGTGAAGGGCAGAGTTACAGGGCTGGGTGTAACAGGCTGGTCGACTGTCCCTGTTGGGTGTTCTGTTTACTAACTACTCATGAGCGTGTGTGGGGGTGAGTAGAGGTTGGAGTCAACTACTTAGGTCACCTATAAAGTGGATTGAGCATTGGCCTGTGTTTCTGTTGGGTACTAGTCAGCTCATTCAGTTCTCTGGCATAGTATCTTACTCTCTCTTTTTCCCTAGGAGCTGTAAACCGAATCAAAGAAATTATCACCAATGGGGTGGTGAAAGCTGCCACAGGGACGAGCCCGACTTTCAATGGTGCGACCGTCACTGTGTATCACCAACCAGCGCCCATTGTGCAGCTGTCTCCAGCTGTTAGCCAGAAGCCACCCTTCCAGTCAGGGGTATGTTGTGTGGAGCGATCAGTAATAACAGCTGCGTCATTTCTGTAGCAATGATACATGCCAATTAATACAGAAAGTGTGAAGAAAGTAAGAAAACCCTGAAATACCAACCTGAACGTTATCCACTGTTGACATGCTATTAACGGACCACTTAGGTTTCCAAGATGTAATGAACACCTGAGCATACATCTCTTGCTACTGAAATATTCTAGAAAGGGAGTTGACAGAGCAAACAAAGAGTGTGCACATGGTACATTTGAAGTCAGTGGTGTGAATTTCTGTTTGTAAACTTGATGGCGGCTGGAGGACTAAGAAGGCTGAGTCTGATGAAGTAAGACTCCGCTGATACCATCCTCCTAGAAAAACGGGTTTCAGAGAGCAGCCCTTCCTGGAGAGCTCAGAGGGCTGACTGTGCCACCCAACATTCTGCTTGCTTCACCGGAGGCTGTCTCCCCTAATTTCTTAATTGACGAGTGTCCACCGAGGCGGCGTGGCTATGCCTACTCAGGACTGGGTTTGGTGTTTTCAGCTCTTAAGAAGATTTTGCTGAACAGAGTAAGACGCTAGTGTGGTAGATAGGGATGTGGACCGTGTAGTTCTTATTTAAATTACTTTTATGGGCTCTTGGTAGGAATTATAAGGGGTCCTTATTCTGGGAGTGATTAAAAGTATCCAGAGGGCTAAAATAATTTGCATAATAGTTTTCAAGGTGAGGATTGAATTACAAACGCTTGGTGTAACCTGGATACTCTGTGCTTCACAGATGCATTATGTTCAAGATAAATTATTCGTGGGTCTAGAACACGCCGTGCCCACTTTTAACGTGAAGGAGAAAGTGGAAGGTCCCGGCTGCTCCTATTTGCAGCACATTCAGATCGAAACGGGCGCCAAAGTCTTCCTACGCGGCAAGGGTTCGGGCTGCATCGAGCCGGCGTCTGGCCGCGAAGCTTTCGAACCCATGTATATTTACATCAGGTACGGGTAGGGGGGCAGTGGACGCCTGGGTCCTTGTCAGTCACCAGTATAGGCGGGAATGATTGGGAGGAAGAAACTTGGGCTGAATAAGTAGTGACGTGAGGGAGTCATCATTTCATGATTAGTTTAAAAACTTCCTGATTTAGGAGGTTAAAAGGCTTATCTTTTTAGTATTCCAGTCCTTGGGTTTTATGTAAGTCCGTAGTCCTAAAGTGAGCTGGGATGAGCCTCTGATGACTTTCATTGAAATCTATGATAGTATTTTAACATATCTTTATATCAAGAAGTACTGTCACTTACAGAAAGACCAATAAAATATTTGTGGTAGCAATCTAAGTTACTTCGTAAAGGGTTTGTGACTCTTATTTTGTGATTTTTGTGTGTGTGATTTTCAGAAGCTTAGATTTGTGCTACGATGAATGTTTTAAATTTATAAGCAGCATACAGAGTGAAAGCAGAATCCTGTATCTTCTATTTTCTCCCCTTTGAATCTTGGTTCTTACTTTGTAGTCATCCCAAACCGGAAGGCCTGGCAGCTGCCAAGAAGCTCTGTGAGAACCTCTTGCAGACAGTGAGTCATGTTTGTCTGCTACTCCTTTGGAACAGCTACTGCCGTCTTGGACTGTTTCTCAGCTATTTTTCCCACCTGTATTAGTTTCCTAGGCTGGCACACAAAATTACCACAAACTGGGTGACTTGAACACAGCAGAAATGTATTCCCTCACACCTCAGGAGGCCAGAAGTCCAAAATCCAGGCGTGGGCAGGGTTGGTTCCTTCTGAGGCCATGAGGGCGAGGCCGTGCCAGGCCCCGTCCTGGCTTTGTGTGTTTGCCTGTGCTCCTTGGCAAGCTGCTTCGTGTCAGCGTGACTCCAGGCTCTGCCTCCGTCGTCACCTGGCCTTCCCCCATACCTGTCTGTCTCTTCTAAGGCCATCGTTCATTGAATTCAGGACCACTCTAGTCCTGTACAGCCTCATCTGAACGACCTAATAAGGTCATAATTTGAGGTTCCAGGGAGACATGAATTTGGGGGACACCATTCTAACTGCTCCACCACTCTAGCAACTACTATTCTCTATGAGGAGGTCAGGGCCCCCTAGCCAGGGGCCAGGTGGCCTGCATTTTTTCTTTGGGAGCTATTTCAGTGTGGAATTTTGAAATTGGTGGTACGTTAGCGTCGCAGAGTCGCAGTGTGGCTGGTTGTTTAAACCATATTTATCCCGCGCAGGTTGTTTAAGATGAACCCTCCACCTGCTTTTCAGTACCAGCTTCGGCCGCAGTAACTGTAGAGCTATAATATTCAGAACCAAGTACCAATGCCTTTGGGATAATTTCTCGATTATTTTGAAAACAAACAACCAAAACTTAAACCAGTGCTGTCTTGCCTAAAGGACTCGGGTTTGGGGGTTGAATGTTCGCCCCTGTGCTCATCCCGACTTAAGGATGCCTTTTGGGGATGTGCTGTTTTCTTGCTTTCGTGACGTAGCCTGGTTTAGCAGCCCTTGTACCAGGTAGCTCCCCTGACCGTTCCCCATCTTTTTCTTTGTTGCTACTTGAAGTTACTGACTTACCGAGATCCTTCTAATGAGGAACTGGAGTGGGAAAGTGCTGAACTTCTATTAAGCCATGAGCTCCTTGGTCACAGTTCACTCAGTAAATGAAAGACCAAGCGAATCTGAATTGGACTGAAACATCAATGGGATTACTTGAATTCCTGACTGCTTAGTCGCAGTCAGTGAATAGGACTGCCTGCATTAACGTGTTTTCGCTTCTCTTCCAGGTTCATGCTGAATACTCTAGATTTGTGAATCAGATTAACACTGCTGTGCCTTTACCAGGTGTGTGTGTCTTGAAGTGTTTAACCAAAATATATTGTGTATTGTGCTAGTGATACTTACGGATAAAGTGATGATACTGAGGCTAGACTAACTGTGCTCGGGCACCAATGACGTTCCCTTCGCCCTTGGGTGATTTGGAAAGCCATTTGAGCCTCAGTGTTTCTTCCCTAGAGATTTAAGTTTAATATTCAGCTAAAATGTCTCATTCTGCTGCAGCTGATTAAACACTTTTTTTCTTCCCCCTCAGGCTATACACAACCCTCTGCTATAAGTAGTGTCCCTCCTCAGCCACCATATTATCCATCCAATGGCTATCAGTCTGGTTACCCTGTTATTCCCCCTCCTCAGCAGCCGGTTCAGCCTCCCTACGGAGCACCAGGCATAGTGCCGCCAGCTGTTTCATTGGCACCTGGAGTCTTGCCAGCATTACCTACTGGAGTCCCACCTGTGCCAACACAATACCCGATAGCACAAGTGCAGCCTCCAGCTAGCACTGCACAGGTAGGATGCGAGCGTACGAAACGTGGTACCACCGGGCAGGAGAAACTGGGCCAGGAAGGGGCAGGAGGGCAGCGGCGACACTGGGACTCGTGTGTGATGGGAGGTGCCATTTGCCTGCCGCGTCCTCTGTGTCACCAGCACCAAACGTCCCGAACACTGGGCAGTAGTGTGTATTTGTCCCAGAGTTGGCAGTTGCTTCCCCGAGGCTTGCCCTCTTGCAGCTGTGCGAGCCTTCGACGAAGGGCCTGATGGTACACTGTTAGGCTTAGTGAGCCGCACGGTCGCTGCCCTGACTCCTGCCACTCTGCTGCTGTGGCACAGAAGCGGCCGCAGACAGTACCAGATGAAAGCGTGTGGCCGTGTGCCCATCACACTTGACCAACAGAAATAGGTGGCAGGTCAGGATGGTGGTATGTCATAGCGTGGGCCCTCGTTTGCCTGGGCCGGGCGTGACAGTCCTCTGGGAGAAGCGGGTGGCCTGTCGTCCCCTTAGAGATTGGAATGGAATTACTAACCTGAGGAAGAAATATTATACTGTAATATACAGGTGTTCTTAGGCCAAGGGATACATGAACTCGCCCAACTTCAGCATTATGAAGGCGGGTATATATTTCTCACACTGGAAGAAACCAGAATTTTAGGGAAAGAGTAGGCAGCTGCTCATCTAGGCGGGTCCTGTACCATCCTCCTGAGGCCGGGAGAGACCAGTGAGAGGGCATGGTGATGGATTATGGCAGGCCCTTCTCTGTGGGCCTCTCATAGTGTACCCGTGCCAGAGCAGATGGCAGCCTCGAACCATAGCCCAGCCTCCTCCTGTGGGCTGTGAGCACTGAAGGCGGCCGTACAGGGTGAAACAGAAGGTTTCTGAACTAAACCCCCGGTCGTCATTATTTTACCTTTTACACAGAGGCAGAACTATGGTTCTCCAGCTTTGAGCCGCATTCTTAGTAATTAGAAAGCAGTAGAGCAGCGTGATGAAGGGCTGGGGTTTAGAGAGAGGCTGGCAGCGTCCGTCATGCTTCGCCATTGTGAGCTGCGTGACCTGGATGTAATGTCACCATTCTGGGCATTGGTTTCCCTCCTATATAAATGGATAATGTTTCAGAGGGTTGCAAGGATTAAGCAAGGTGACTCAAGCGGTCAGTAAATATTAGCCGTTTGTTATTAACGTTTTCCTTTTAGAAGTGCCTGTTTAACGTGTACTGTCTTTGCTTTTGATGACCCTCATTCCTCTTTGGAACAACAACTTATAAGATTAGACAGTAAGTTGCTCTCGCTCCTGACATAACAACTCACCCCCGGAAAGTGGTCCATGAACTTGCCTTTGCCACAAGCGTTGGTGGCATTTATGATCCAGAAGAGCTAGTCGCATTGATTGAAGGGCTTTAATAAGAGCGGGTCCTTCTTGGTAACTTCCGAACTGAGTTAAGTGGCTCCAATTACTATGTTTGTTAATGGTCGTGTTGGCTCCTCATAGCTCAGATGCACCACGAGTGCTGTAGAAATGATCGCTTTCATGTTTCCTTGCCACGAAGGTGGGCAGGCCAGGTAATACTGCTACCAGATTGTACATGAAGGAAGCGAAGAACCAGACAATGAAAGAGCCGCGCGCGATACCTATTGGTCATGAGTATATCGTAACCATTGACGTCATGTGTTGGGCGTTCTCACACTTGTTTTCCCCTTGGTTTGTTTTGGTCTCAGACTCCGATGAGTGGACCTTTTATTCCTGCTGCTCCCGTCAAAACTGCCTTGCCGGCGGGCCCCCAGCCCCCACCCCCACTCCCAACTCAGCCCCAGGCACAGAAGAGGC